TTCCCTTGAAATGGAAAATAAACAGACAACAAGAAAAATAATTCAAGTTGGTGTCTGGGAAGAAGGAAGGCCCTTCCGTGGAACAGTAGAAGAAAAGGGAGGGAGTTCGGATATGTTAGGGTGTTCTGAAACAATGGTAAAACCATCTCAAAAGCAAAACACAAGTCGTTTTGGATGGTTCCTTGCATGCCTACTTTCTGTAGGAATCTTTTCAGGCCCTTTCAGCTCACTTCATGGATCTTACTCTTTGATCTGTAGGTTCTTAAAGTCTGTACCATATAGGTTAGCTCTTGAATTATTTCATAAGTGCTAGTGTTTCCACTTAGAAAGCAAGTCCTTGAGGGCAAAGGCTGTGCCTTATGCTGCTTTTGTAATTCCCTTTAACCCACAGCAAAATGCTCAGATAAATGCTTCAGATAGGCTGATAGAGAAGAACTTTCACAAAAGGTAGTGAGCTTGGCTCCATTTAATGGAGGAGAATCTTCATGGAGTACAATGCAAGGAAAGCTTTCCTTTACTCAAATGGACAGTGGAGGATGGTGGTGGAGAGTCTTGGCATGAACATACACTTTTGATTCTCGCAAACTTGCGATCAAATCCTTCCTGAGTATCCACCTGACAGAAATGCATACAGATATGCATCAGAAGATATGCACAGGAATGTTCACAGCAACACTGTTCATAACCCTCAGCTGGAAACAACCTAAATGTTTGTCAGCAGTAGAATGGATAAATAAACCATGATCTGTTCACATAGTGGAGTACTCTACAGCAACGAGAATGAACGATCTCCAGTCACGTGGAGCAACATGGGTTATTCTCACAAACGTTATGTTGAGCTAATAAAGCCAGACACAGAAGAATCTATACTGCATGATTCCATTATTTTAAATTTCAAAATCAGCACAACTCATCTCTGATATTAGCTTATATTCATTGTATTTATGATGTTGGCTTATCTATGTCCTTGGGGAGATGGTGAATGAAGAAAGAGGACATGGGGGGTGCTCGTGGGATGCTGGCAATGTTATTTCTTGATGTGAGTGCTCGCTTCTATTTAAAAAGTCAAGGTAGTGTTGATACCTATTTCATAGGATGTTGTAATGATTGAAATATTTTAATCCATGGCATGCAGTAATTGCTTAGTAAAGGTAAACTACTGTTATTAGGGAATGAGAGATCACTATCTGGGAAGTCTGGGAAGAAGTAAGCCCTGAACTGTTTCATAAATCCAGATCCTGGATGCTACCCTGTCCCTCGTTTCCATCTCTTTTATTGCTCTTGGTGACGTTTGGTCACCTGACTCTTCTGGAGCTCCTTGTGCGCATTCAAGACCCCCATGTTTTATTCTCGGCCCTCTTTTTTCTCTTCTTCCCTGGCACCTGCCAGCTGCTGGCATTTCTCCTGCTTGTAGTGCTCCTGCTTCTGCCCCCATTCCCTTCCTCCTGCTGCTCCTTGGCCTGCCTCTCCTCCCGCTCCTAACCTCTTCTTTCAGTATCCCTAGTGCCACCCACGCAGTAGGTGCTTCATAAAACTTTGTTGCTATACTACAAACCAGGCTGTGCACCACATGGACATGTCCCCGGTGCTGGGGGCTGACTCAAGCTGAGCTAAGTTTCTATTCCGGGTTATAATTTTTTTTTTTCCCCTTTTTTGTCTTTTTTCGTGACCGGTAATGGGATCGCAACCCTTGGTGTTGCGCCCGCACCGCACTCAACCAGTGAGCGGACCGGTCTCTATATGGGATCTGAACCCTCGGCAGGAGCGCCGCCGTGCTCCCAAGCGCTGCACTCTACCGAGTGCACCACCAGGCCGGCCCTCTGGGTTATAATTTTCCTGGTAGGCCTGGCATGTCAAGGGCCACAGTTTTCCTTACCATGCTGGAGCCACCAGGCTTCTGGGTAAAACTGTCTGGCCAAGAGACACAGGCTTTCATTTTTCAGAAAGGAAACCCTTCCCAACTGGTGGAAAATAAGCTTTTGCTTAGTGACTAATAACATAAACACAGACAAGATTTCTGGGCTTATAAATAACCAGTTGTAAAAGTGCCCAAGGGAAGCAGCCTTTTTTGCCAGACGAATGGCCAAGACTGTTCCTATCACCTTACTGATAGTGACCTTAACCATGGGCTGAGGGTGTGGAAGCTGGTCATTCTTCAGTATGAATTCCCAAGGCCTTGCTCTTCTGGTTTATAAATCCTGGGCTATTCTGGAAAAATAATAGATGATTTCTAAGGTCCCTTCCTGCTTGACAACCTCATGATTCTTCGGAAGCCACAACATATTTTAAAGAGCGATGCCGGGAGGGAGAGGAAAGTCTTAGGGTTTTGTTTTGCCAGAGCTGCCCCAGAGGCAGATGAAGCAATTATGAGAATAGCTTCCATTTATTGAGCACTGGCCAAGGCACTGTGCTGAGGGCGCTGGACCCACCAGCTCACTGAGTCTCCTGGCAACCATGAGAGGACATTATTAGCCTCGTTTGACTGATGGTTTGAGTGAGGTTGAGAGGGATTAAAATATATGTATAGTAATATGGTGGCTAGGAGCTTGGAGTCTGCAGTCAGACCACCGTCTCTACCTCGTACTCTTGTAGCCATGCAATTATTACTCACCTTGCCGTACCCAGGTGTTTTCACCTGTAAACCGAGGATACAAATAAGACGAAACCCATGTGACATAATTCATGCAAAACGCTTATTAACATGGTGTCTATACATAGTAGGCCTACAACAATGCTGTTATTATTAAGAAAGGGTTTAAGAAGCCTCCTCCATAACACTACACAGCCTCTTGATGAATTATTGACACTCCAGGCCTAGAAGTCTCATTTGCACTTAGCTAATCTAAGGTTACAATCAGGGCCTTGACCATGAGACTTGAGCTGCTTCCCGTGAGGTGGGGTGGGGTGGGGGATGGTGTCCCAGAGCCAGGCCCAGCCACTCAGACAGTCCTCTGACTGGGCTGCCCACCAGCTCTGCCTGCAACTGTGAGGGGTCAATTTTATCACTTACATATCGTCTCATTCATCCAGCGTGTATCAAACTGGTTCCTGAGTAGTTCCTATGGATGTCAGTAGGAACATTGAAATGGCCAAATCAACCTGTAAAACTGCGAGTTAAGGAGACCAGGCTCTCCAAGGGCGATCAAGTATTAGCATTTTCTAACCATTTACCTGTGTTTGACCATGGAACCCTTTTTTCTCCAGGACATCTTGCAGGACTAGTGCTGCATGGAAATGCCTTTGAAGCTCTTCCTCAACCCTTTCCAAGTGCAGTCACCAGGGTGCAAAAGTGAAAAGGGGGAGTCCAGTGAGGATGGGCACAAGGGGTGGCTGGGGAGGTGACTGGTGGGCAGACTCGGGACGTATTTTAGAGGCAGGACCAGCAGGACTTACTGATGGAAGCTGCTCAGAAAAGTACTTGTATCTGGTGTATTGGACTGTATTGAACTGAATTGTGTTTATGTCTCCTTGATATGAAACCAGCCCTTGGAAAGGGAAGAATCCAGTCACTGAATCCGTCCTTTTGTCTGCATGAGGCGAGTGAACTACACCTTCCAATAGTCACTGAAGGGCCAGTGGCTTTGGATCCTTTAAGGGTGCACCGGACTCTTTGGGGCGGGAGGCTCCTTGTTTATTTTCTTGTCAGAGTACTTTCCCTCTTCTACCTCCCCCTGTTTTAAAATTAGAAAACCTGCTGCCTCTCTCCAGGGCATATCACTCCATCATTTTTGGAGCCTGAGCCATGCATCCTGAGGCAGCTTTTCCAGTTTCCAAAGTTTATTGTTAATGAAAAGTGCACAACAGGCTGAAATCCCTGGCAGGAGCTGAAGCTGCAGGGTACACCGAGGCCAGCAGACGCCAGAGCAGCCAATTTTATCTGGCTGTTCTCTCCTCGTCCTCCTCGTCCCTGCTTGCCTCCTTCCCCCTCATTTTATCAGAGAGGTTTGGCTGGACTTGAAGGAGCCGAAAAGGAACTGGAGGGGCCTGAGCTTCTAGCAGCCAGGGACAAATTGTGGGAGGACAGGGGACCCAGGCCTGGGGCAAGTTCCAGTTCAACTCAGTTCTTCATTGAGTGTGTGCATCTGTCTCGGTGCTAGGCCCTGGGGGTCTCATAATATTGACACCACGAATAATAGCTAACATTATTGATTGTGTGCTGTAATGCAGGCTGTATTCTAAGCATTTACCGTACCTGGAATCAATAAATCCTTCCCACAGTTCTAAGAAGTACTTACTAATATTATTTACATTTTACAGTTGACTAAACTGAGGCACAGAGAGGGCAAGCAACTTGCCCAGAGTCACACAGCCAGTAAGAGGCAGATCCAGGAATCCTACAAGTAATCCTACTTTGGAGTATCTGATTCCAAAACTACAGTTTTTAGCTCTCTCAGTGCAGGCAGAGGAAATGGATATGTCAAATAGCAGACAAATCCGCACATTTTGAAAGTGCTGTGAGTCAGGTATTGACTAGGACAGTGAGAGGCAGAAGGGGACAGTGTGGAAGCCACATCTGAGTACAGTCTTGACTCATGAGTTGGAGTTTCCCTGGCAGGTAAGATGGAAGTGGGAAGCAGCAGTGTGTGTGTGTATAATTGTGTGAAACAGCAAATGGTTCTGTACTGGTGGGCACAGGGGCCCTGATGGGAATAGTAGAAGTTAATGAGATAGAGGGAGGCAGGCAGGGGTCCATCAGCGAGGGTCTTGGGTACCCTCCAAAGGTTTTCTTACCATTTCTTTGGGTGTAAGGGATTTTGGAACAATTGTTATTTATTTTGTCTTTGCTCAAAGGACATCTTATGTGAAAGCCCAAAGTACAAAACAGGTAGCAGTGGCGTGGCTATGGTTGAGGTGGTGCCGAGGACCAGAGCCTACCCTTCATGGCCTCCCCCACCCCACGCCTCAGCTCCTGGGCATCTGCCTAGAACCCCGAGTTTGAACATCACTGCAACAGAGCATCAGAGTTGGGGAGAGAGGCATTTTGGAAAATGACTTCCGTGATGGTGTGGAGGATGGGTGAGAAGGGGCTGAAGCAGGAGGCAGGGAACCCAGCTCAAGGTGATTATGGCAGCCCTGGTAAAACACCAGACTGTGGCCACATGGTTCCGCATCCATACTGGGAGCCGGAGCTGAGCTGATTTCAGCAGCTCCTTGAGAGGCCGTCTCATCTATCGTTCTGCACTCAGTCTTTGGAATCAAACTGCCGGATTGCAGGCCGTGTGAGTTTCTTAACCTCCCCAGGCCTCAGTTTCCTCATTTTTCAAATGGTAGAATTACAGATATTTCCCTGATTGTTTGTCAGGTTTAAATGAGTTAGTACACGTCAGGTACTGAAACCCTTTCACAAGCCCAGTTCATAGTGAGCTCATAGTAATATCATCAATAATAGTAAACAGTAATTATTTACTATGATTGTCCAAAATGCATTTATGAAATTTCAGTTCATTCATTTAATCAGTATTAATCGAGCCCCTTCAATATGCCAAATACCATGTGGGCGTAGTGAGCTCATAGTAACATCATCAATAATAGTAAATAGTAATTATTTACTATGATTGTCCAAAATGCATTTATGAAATCTCAGTTCATTCATTTAATCAGTATTAATCGAGCCCCTTCAATATGCCAAATACCATGTGGGCACTGAGGATACGTCAGGGAGTGGAATAGACCAACCCTCATTTACATTTGAGTGGCGGTGACAATAAATACACAGAATGGGTGGGTAATAGGGTCCATGGGATCATGTAGGACTTGGCCGCATTAGGAACTTTTGAGTGAGATGGGAAGTCTGGAAGGTTTTGAGCAAAGAGATGACAAGATTGGGCACCCATTTTGGGGTCAGAATAGCTCTGTCAGGTCCAGGGAGCTGGTCTATATCAGGTGTTAACTAACAGTGGTTGTGTTAGTCGCTACCCACGGTCCCGTCTACAAGGGGGCAATTCCGATGGGAGGGGAGTTGTGAGAAATGATCTTGGCGAAGGGAGTGGGGTCCCCAGAAAAGAGAGCCACCCTTCCCTTACATTGCAAAGGCGTGTCCAGGAGCGACAGTGACGATGCCGCTGTCCACCTGGCTGCAGCACTTGCTGGACTCCTCGTGATGTTGAATGGGCCCGTTTGTGCCATGACCGGTCGGTAGCTATTTGCCCCCGCTCGGTGACATCTCCGTTGTCCTCTTGTCACACTCTCTGGAGTCCTAAGTGAGAGGGTATCTGTTTATCGCTGCTTTCCCCACAGTGTTTGAGAACAAAGATAAGATTGTGATCATCATGGAATATGCGAGCAAAGGCGAGCTGTACGATTACATCAGCGAGCGGAGACGCCTGAGCGAGCGGGAGACCAGACACTTCTTCCGGCAGATCGTGTCCGCCGTGCACTATTGTCACAAGGTAAGGCTGTGCCTGGCCCGCAGCTTCGGCCACCAATGGTTTTAATAGCACCACGTGATTCTTTGCATATTATAAAAGTACTGTCTGTTCATTATAGTGTATGTGGAGAATTTATACCCTAGAATGAAGAAAATCACCATCACCTACAATCCCAGAATCCAGGGTAACCCCCTATTGACATGTCTGCTTGTTTCCTTCCAGTCCTCCTCCTCCTCCTCACATTTACTTTTTATCTAGCTGTCTGTTCATTATAGTGTATGTGGAGAATTTATACCCTAGAATGAAGAAAATCACCATCACCTACAATCCCAGAATCCAGGGTAACCCCCCTGTTGACATGTCTGCTTGTTTCCTTCCAGTCCTCCTCCTCCTCCTCACATTTACTTTTTATCTAAACTTTTTATTTTGAATAATTTTACATTTACAGGAAAGTTTCAAGGGTAGTACAGAAGGTTCCCATATACTCCTCATTTGGTTTACCCTAATGTTAATATCTTACATTACTGTGGTACATTTGTCAAAACTGAGACACCAATATTATATGTTACTATCAACAAAATTTCAGATTTTATTTGAATTTCACCAGTTTTTCCATCAATTAGCTTCTTCTGTTCCAGGATCCAGTCCAACCAAGCTGCATTTATTTTGATAGTTTATGTCTTGCTTTTTCACGTAATATTTTAATCTTCTGAACATTTTTCTATGTCATTAAGAATTCTCTGTAATTATAGATTGTTGTAAATTCAGGCTGTTTCTAATTTCTGATTACTATAAATAGCAATCAACATCTTTGTGCATATTTTCCTCTCATTTGAATAATTTACTTAAGGGATTTTCCAGAAGTGGACTTATTGGGTGAAAGGTCCTGGACTTCTCTATACTCTGGGTACCTTTCCTTGCACAGGTTACCTACATACACATATATTTTATTGCAACACACGCCACAGGACGTGCTCACTGTGTAGCCACAGTGTAGCTCCCTTGGTCTCTAGAGAAGGAAATGAAGTACACAGATAATTCCACGCCATGCTTCAGTCATTACTACTATTAATCATTTTAGCTATGATTTTCATCCCATTCAGACTTCCCCAGGTCTGCCATACCTGGAACAGGTATTCACACTTTGAGGACAATATGACTTCAGTTGAACATGGCATCCCAAATAGAGTCAACTTCTTTATACAAATGATTGCAGCATGGGGCCTTCTGGCTTGTTAAATATTCTGTTTAATTGAGAGCGGCTCTATAAGTAATTAGTAGATGATTATTGAAATCCAGAACCCTTAACCCATGTGACCATTACTTGACCTGTGTTTACTGACTCAAAAGGTACTCATGATTTTCAGTCATGCAATATTTTGTATTTTATCATCAGGTATCATTGTAAAAGCACTACAGACCATATTTGCATTATTTGGATTCTGTGTGAATGGGGCTTTATTAGACTCATTCCATCTTATTATGAAAACCAGGAATGCAACAATGTGTAAATCAAACTGCTCCCAATATTTAAAACTAAACAAAATCATGTGCCTTGTATTTCATAGCTTTCCTCCAGGAGACTTGGTTCTGTGCATTTCTGAATTCAAAATACCTCCTCGAAGGCTTGAAGTAGAAAAAGAGTAGTAGAAATACATGTTTTCATCTCTCTCTCCAGTCAGTGCTTTTGGAGATTTTAGGAACTGTCAATTGGAAAGAAAAATAAACAATAGAGAACCAACTGTAAACATGCCAGTTGGTTTGCTCAAAAGAGCAGCTTCAATCACAGATGTCCTTTGTGCTGAATGATGTTCAGAACCTACTCCCTGCCATTTATCTGCTCAGCCCCCCAACAACCGGTTCTTTCAGTCCCACCGCTCTTGCCATGCCCACCCACCCCTGAAAAAAGATAATTGGGTCTTAGAAAAGAATTGAGCAGGCCAGTTGTTACTGCTGTGTAGACTGTTGCTACTGGTTAATGACTCCTTTTCACCTTTCAGCTGCCTGTCTGCTTGTCATTGAAGTTCAGCCTCCAGCCTTGCCAGAGTTGGCCTGAATGGAAAGGTCACACAGTAGGGCAGCCACCTGCTTTGGTCAGGCCAGTGGCTGCAGTCTCATTGGCCTGCTCCCACGCTTCACCTTTCACCCTGCACAGAGTCCTGCTGAGCAGAGAGGGACTTTCAGAATCTTCTCTTGTGGCTGCTTAGAAAATACCCTGTTATCCTCAGGACAGATCTGGGTTGGTTTCGTGGGTCAGGATAGACTGGGCCAGGCCCCTTTGCAGCACTGGGGAAGCAGGCAGACAGACAGACAGACAATCAAGACCTATGAGCCCCATGCTCTGAGTCCCCAGCAGAGAAATCTGCTTCTTCCCTGGGAATCACATCAGACAGACAGACATTGTTTGCCCCTGCCTGGGATGATATGGCTTTCACACAGTGGAATTGCATTCCAACAAAGAATCCCCCTGCTGTTTTACAGGCTCTGGGGGAGAATGGATTCCAGTCATTTTTCCCTTAACCACACAGCAAGTGACTAATGCTCTCCCGTGGCTGGTCGATGGCTGGTGGAGAGGCATCCTGACAGCGAGAGCAGCCCTGAAGGATGCGGCAAAGACCACCGGGCTGGCACGATTCTTTAATCTGTCCAGCATTTCCCTGTGTTCATCCTCCTCCTTCCTCTCTCTCATCCTAACCGTTCTCATTCAATTCCCTCCTCGCCTTCTCATTTCAGAATGGTGTGGTCCACCGGGACTTGAAGCTGGAAAATATACTGCTCGATGACAACTGCAATATTAAGGTAAAGCTCTTGCCTCATTGATTGATATGCAGGGCCTGGGGACTGCAGCCAGATAGGGGATTAACCCTTTCCAAGCTGCAGCCTGGAAAGAAGGTAGCTACTTGCTTTCTTGGCAGGTGGGTAGGGAGACCCTCTTTGCTGGAGGTCTCAGTTCTGTCCAGACAATTAAATTTGACGAACATTTATTGATCTCCAACTGCATACTAGACATTGTTCTTCCTGCTGGGATAAGAAGCAATGACTAAGATACAATTCCTGCCCTCAGGAAGCTCATAGTCTAAAATCATCACATAAAAATACTTATAACAACCAACATATTTCATGTGTATTTCATATCATATTTGCTTGAAATCACTTAAATTCAACCTTTACAACAGCCATAGGAGATAGCTACTGTTATTTATGTCATACCATAGACAGGGAAACTGAGGCATGAAAAAGCTAAGCAATGTACACGAGATAACACAATGGTAAGTAGTGGAGTTGGTATCTGGCCCCCTATCTGTCTGACTCACGAGACCAAGGTCAATTGATTGTGCTCAGTTTGCTAGCAGGGTCTGCAGTTATTTTAGAGTTGGAACTCGTTCCCTGGCCACTTTTTTGTCACTCCCCACCCCATGTCTCCTACTTCTCCTTCCCAACCCTCCCACCCCTGAAACCAGCCATGCAACTGGAAAGCTGACCGAAATGATGGTGGTGTCTGCTGTTGGGAAATAGCAAGTGATGGAGTTTACTTTTATGGAGAGTATTATTGCTGGCTCCTGCTGGAGCTGGAGAAAGCTCTCCTGGCTGATGGGGTTCAAGTGCCTCCTGGGGAGCACTCTGAGTGTCCTTTTGATCACGTCTGCAAAATAAACAAATACGGTTTCAAAATAAATGGAGCTCACTGCATGGGTTTCATTATGAAATGGCCTTAGTACTCCCGACACCAGCAGGAGCTCTCCAATTGGCCGCTGGTGACGTTAGTGGCTTACCCCTGGTCCCTGGTCAAGGCATGGGAACGATCTTGCATCTTCCTCTATTTTTGTTTTTGTTGCTCTCAGTTGTGGGGAGCATGATGGGGAGACTGTTTCCTTGCTTGGAAGGATGCAGTTACTTTGGTGTTTGGATTCTGTTTGCAGATCATGGAGGCAACCATTAGTCACCGTCATCCTTTGAGAAGCCCCTGGAAGCCATTATAGCGGTGACCTCTTGTTCGTGCAGAGTGGTTGACCTTAGTCACATATTTCTGTGTAGACTATAGAGTAAGGGAGAAATAGTTGGTCAAAACAGTTCTCCCTAGGAACAGAAAGTGAAATTCCAGGGTCTCTCCATTTCTAGCAGAGCGGTCAGATTATTCTAGATGGATCACTGGATGTAGAATTAGAAAATTCTCAGCTGTGTGGCTTGCTAGCCATTTGACTTTGGGAAAGCCATTTAACTCTGTCTTCTCACCTGTAAAATGGGGTCACAGTAATATCCACAGGCTTGCTTTGAGGGCTAAATGAGATGCTCTCTTTGTTTAGCTTTATAAACTGCCAAGCACTTGTGTGTAAGCAAGTCAAGGTTAAGAGCAGTGGCTTTGGAATTAGATAGCCTGGGTTTGAATTGCAACCTAGTCCATTACTCATGCAGGATTTTGGGTAAAGTACCTGTCTATGTAAGTCTTAGTTTCCTCACCTGTCAAGTAGGGATGGCAGTTCTTGTCTCTGGGGATTGTTGTTTATTTGTTCATTTTTTCCCAATGTTTTCTGAGCAGTTACTGCATGCAGTGCCCTGTGCCAGTCTGGGGGGTCAGTAACAAACCTGGACATTCTAGACAATACTATAGTCAAAGCAGTTAGCACTTAACTATTACTATACCAGCAGCCTGCTTAAACGGCAGGCCACTAGAGAGGGAACTGAACCAGAAGCCAGTTGCTCTGAAGGTGCCTGGATCTTGAGGAATGCTAGGCAGTGGCTGAAATATTGGGTCCTGGCCCAGGGGCCATACTCTAAGGGTTTGTGTCAGCGACCTTGATGACTTTCTCTCTAGATTCATCCTTCCACTTGCCCCCAGAGCTCTCAAAACTAAATGTAGTCTTTACAAGGCCTGGAATGTGAGGCTCTCGCCTGGGGACTGGGTTCTGTGGTACAGTGTGACCTCTTGGTCATATGATGCAGTCCAGAAGTGATAAGGCACATAGCTTCCTATGGAGTCACAGAATTCTCCAATGGAGAAGAATGGTTAGAATTCTGTAAGCAGTTCTGCAGGAGAACAATGGGGCAGGAGCCTAGAAGAATAGCTCATCTGCATAAGCAATAGGGCAATGATGTTGGCCTAATAGTTTTCCTGGACCAAGTCCTTCAATCTAGCATTCCTATGCATTACATAGGGAAATAGCACACACATAGAATATTATAAAATTAAGGTTTTGGTCAAATCTTTTTCCTTGTCTTTTCCTTAAGAATTTCTACTCCTGGCATTTTCCAAGGTAAAATACAACAATGATGTTGGCCTAATAGTTTTCCTGGACCAAGTCCTTCAATCTAGCATTCCTATGCATTACATAGGGAAATAGCACACACATAGAATAGTATAAAATTAAGGTTTTGGTCATATCTTTTTCCTTGTCTTTTCCTTAAGAATTTCTACTCCTGGCATTTTCCAAGGTAAAATACACACACACACACACACACACACACACACACACATCTCAAACAGAAGCCAAATCTTCCCATTATCAACACTCTTAAATTCTTTCTCTGTTTATTCAAGAATCCTACTCAGATCTGAAAATCCTAGAGCTTGAAAGAACTTTGAGGGTCATTTTCCAACCCCTCGTTTTAATGATTATGACTCAGGAAGTCTAAGTGATGTGCCCCAGATCACACAGTGAATCAGTATAGACTGCATTATTGGTCTTTGTTTCCTCAGAGTGTGGCATAGTGCTTGGTATACAGTATGTACTTAAGACCTGTTTGATTTTGGAATAAAGGAATGACAAGGCAGGATTAGAACTCACATGTTTGACTTCTAGGCAGATTCTCTTTTTATCATCTCACACTCACTTCCAGTTTTTGAAAATGTGTTTCAGCTGGTGTTGATTCATCTTCCGGCTGCATAGTCTCAGCTCTTCCTGACTCAGCATATTGCTGAAACATATTTAGAAAGGGCAGTTGGTGACAAAAGCAGGCAGACACATGGCCACAAGCTGGACTGTAATGTTGAAGAAAGCCCAAGCCAGCAGGGTCTGGACCTCAGGGACCATGGACATCAGACGAGCTGCCACCTAACAGGATGTGAGCGACGAGGTCCCTCTTGCGGCCCCGCTGTTGCTTCTCTAAATGTGGATCCATCTTTAGTGTTTAAAGGGTAGAGTGGTGGATTTTGGTCCAGGAAGCCCATAAAAATGCTACTGGTTTAAACTTGTCACATGTCAATGTAGTTTTAGTGTGAGCCACATAGCTTGTTCCTCTGCCCTTCCTTGCCTGATGTTGATTTGCAAAGAGCACATCTGGCATTGGAAATTATTTATCTGGCCACTGCGAGAGGGTGTGGCTTCTAAAAATATTCACACAGTCGGTCGGCAGAAAGAATGAGAGCAATGTGCTTCTTTGGGTTGCATTCCGTACTCTGTGGAAGCATGTCTACTAAAATAGACACCCAGCATAGCATTAATTCACAATTAATAAAAATGGGCCAGATTCACATCCCACTCTCTGGGAGAATAGAATGCTGACAATTCCCATAGAAGGCTCCTGTAAAAATGCTTTACAATGAGAAGAGGTCCAGGCATCGGGGTCAGCTGACCGCTTCAAAGAGGGCTGGGAATCTGGTGAGCTCCCAGGGCTCAGAGTAGAGGGGCATGGGGGAAATGGCCTGTTGCCTCCTAGGACAATGGAAACATGTCTGCTGTGGATAAGAAAAGAAGCTTTGAATGGCCAGGGCCGAGGAGAGAGAGAAACCTCTGATGCTTAGCAAGACCAAATGGGGCAGCTTGGGATCATAGGCCTCTGGGCTTTGATTACATAAATGTGAGAACTCTGTGTTCATGCATTAATTAATCAATTCACTTATTCATTCCTCCGTTTTCGTATGTATACCCATGTATACCTGCATTCACTCATCTGCTCCTGCATTTATTCATTGAGCAATTGAACGTCTCTTATGTGCAATATTTATTTGATCACAAATATTTATTAAGTTCATCCTGCATACTTGGCCCTGTGCTGGGGTTTAGTAGTGAACTAGATGGCCAAATCCCTGTCCTCTTGGAACGCAGAATCCAGCAGCTGTTAAACCAGCAGTATTAGTGGGCCATAAGAACACAGAAGTAAATGAAGAAGAGGTGCCTGCCTTAATGAACTTAGAATTCCAGGTGGGGATATAAGTAATAAACAAATAAATACATAATGTAACGTGATGGTGAAGAAAATCCACTCAGGCTGAGGATGCAGAATTAAAGTACTGTTTTAGCTAGAGGGTCAGGGAAGGTCTCTTGCAGAGGACTTGAACTCCTCACATCCACCAAGCTTTCTCTGGCTTCCTGACCTTGGCTGTGATGGTGAAGAAAATCCACTCAGGCTGAGGATGCAGAATTAAAGTACTGTTTTAGCTAGAGGGTCAGGGAAGGCCTCTTGCAGAGGACTTGAACTCCTCACATCCACCAAGCTTTCTCTGGCTTCCTGACCTTGGCTCACACAGTTCCCTCTGTCTGGAATGCTCTTTCCACTCTTCTTTGCCTGCCCCTCCTTTGGGGCTCTTCTTGAATGTCTCTTCTTCCAGGAAGCCTTCCCTGATCTTTGTCCCTTGTGTAATGTGTTGTAGAAGTGCAGAGCAGGAAGTGGTGGGTCTGTCCAGCTGGATGCACCAGAAAGCCTTTGTAGAGGAAATGGTGATAGATGTGGGTTTTGAAGGATAGATAGGAGTTTGACAGAAAGGAATGTGATGAAGACCTTTCACGAGGAAGAAACAGCAAGCACAGGAACAGAGCATGGAGACGAGAAAAGGACAGCAACGTTTATCAAGCCCCTACTAG